GAATTTAGAGGGAACAGACATACGAGTTCAGGTATTAGAACATGTATATGAAGTTGTGAATAAGGCAATCAATAAGAATATACCAGGTATTGAATTTCGTAAAGGGGCATTGGAAATTAAGCTAAGAAGTGTTAAAGTGAGCGTACCAGAAATGATTAAAGATGAACTCAAAAATGCATTACACATTTCTTGGAATTCTAAAGATCAGAATTTAGCAGACTTTATAATCTCTATTATGGATGACATCCTTCCTGACATGCCAGGTTTATGACCTTCTGGGAAGTTAATATACAATAATATGCGTTTTTTTATATTGAATTTTTTTTAATTATGTCTGTAATAATTTTTATAATTATGCATAATTATGTTTGTAATTATGCTTGTAATCTATATTATAAACATTATAAACATTTAGATGTTCAATCCATCTCGCATCATGTGATGATTTATTTGTATCACATTACCCGTTGTGTCTAAACACCTAGTTAGTTTCGTAATTATGTTCGAAAATATGAAATATGAAATAAAAATATAAATATAGAAAATTGAACGACAAAATGACAATTAATCTTTATGTACGATTATGGGAGGCAAGAATTTCTATTCATAATCGGAATTTTATTTAATTATATTAAATATTTATCAATTTAAAATATGTGACACCATTTATATTCTTAAAAAAGCGGTTAAAAATATGTAACGCAAATTTTCTCATGAGTCAATCACGCGACACAATTGGTAGACTTTTTGTTAATATGTGATGTTATGTATCACCTTAACATATGTACAATGATATAGGATACATATTTATGTACAACATTTATTTATAGTATGCAAATTCAAATTGTCACCAGAACAGATTTCCACAGAAGGATAATCTTTTACAAGCACAGGATTCCTATCGTCGGTCATTGCATATGCACCATCAAGTACATACAGCAATGTCATTTTCCTCCACGTTTGTTTTTGCAAATACATCTATAATTGGGTTTTTGGCAAATAATTCTTTGACCCTGGGAAGAATCGTTATTTATTTGTTTATTTATTTGTTAGTTATATATTGTTATTAAGGTGAGAATGACTCATTATTCACGTTATTGGACCTTTCAGTTTGATAATCAAGATTATAAATTCTAGCAATCCTTTCTTGATACGGTCCTTTTTTCGACCGAAACGAATTTTCATGGGAATCTTCTCGCGTCGTGGTTCAAAATTGTACCATTTTCACACAAAGATAAGTAATCCTATCTGATTTTCGCGATTATTATCTAATGATGGTTCTTACAAACGCAAACTCTCTTTTTAGAATTTCGTCTTCTACCGTTACTACGTATCGGTATTGGGATTATTGGGGTACTGGGCTGTGCATAATAACTATTAGTCTAATATCTTGGTTGTACAAGCAATCTTATGAATACATACTATGCGTACAATTTTTACAATGACAATAAAATCCATTGTAAACAATATAAATAAGTGAAACTTACTACGTATCATCGTCTTTGTGTTATATCTTTACTTAATTTTTATAAAGAATCTCAAATTAGGTGAGTTAAATTCCATACATATCTCGTATTGATATTGATATATATATTTTTATATTATATATATATATATTTATTATATGGCGCGTGGATGGACTGGTATAACGCAATGTGTATAAATTTAAGAATGCCGTTGTAAATAAATTATAGATTACTCTTTTTATGTACCTGTTGTGTAGTGCGCCTTTTTGCCTTACTTTTTTTGTTTTTCCCATTTTCCTTTGGGCTTTGTTGATTGGTTACAAAGTTTTGGATAGGTTTTATAAATAGGAGACTTTAACCTTCTCTTGGTTCAGTTTGGTTTCTCTCCAATCAAATTTGCGCCTTTGATTCTTGGGGGACCAAAGCAAAAAAACAAGCTCACACATCGAGTTATTGCCCTCTTTATTGTTGTGTGTCGCTCCTCACTTTGTCCTAACCCGCCAACCCTCAAAACACACCGCATTGTAAAAAAAAAACAAAAAAAAAAAAAAATACAAAAAAAATAAACAAGAAATTTTTCTTCCTTTTTTCTCAACAAAAGAAAAAGCTCCTCGCCAAACTCGAGTTTTTCTCACCTTTTGGTTTAGTTTGACCTATTTCGGCTTCCATACTTTCGTCGGTACTTTTCCGTTTTTTTTTTTTTAAACTATTTTGAACTTACTGCTCGAGCTTTTTGACCTCTTCTTCCACCTACAATCTTACTGTCACGTCGGATTTTCAGATTGTCGTGAACAATTTACAGTAAGATAATAGAATCAAAGATTATCAAAGTTGATATAATTGATACAATCGTTATAAAGATATCATTTGAGATATGTGACTTGAATTTTATACCCTTATGTCACTATCGATTGTTTCCTTTGACAGTGACGCGTCACTTTCCGAATTATAGCTTATTATACACACATATAATAAAGTATATATACCAGCGTACTAATCTCTTTTCTTTAATTTTGGTACTACTTTTCTTTCGAACACCATACTTGCGTGCAAAATCCTTTAGTGTTAAACGGAATATCCGATCAAGCAACAACGGTTAAAAAGCACTTGTTTAAAACAGAGTAAAGCGTCCCTCCACTCCTTTGGTTGACACTTTCTGTGAGCAATTAAAATAAGTTTGCGGGACTCTAGCGTGCAACGGATAAAAAACACAACAGGACATCGGTTTTTTGCTTCCTTTCTCACATAGCGCAAGCCTGATTATCAACTTCCTTCTCAAAAAAGCTTTCTGGTTCGGCGCTAATTTATTATTATTAATAATATTATTATTTTTATTAAGAACCCTTGTTTGTGTTCCAACGTTTTTTTTTTTATTTTTATTTTTTTTTTGCTTAAAGCAGACACATAATGTTCTAAACTTATTCCGCATTCCGAACAGTATCTCATAGTTGCTCTGTTTAGCAGTTCAACAAAAAATCGAGTGCTACGCCTTTTTTAGTTATGCAAGCAATCCCACTCTTTTTTCTAAACAAATTTGACTAATATCGGTATCGTGCGTAAAACAACAATTCTTTTCAAATCACGATTCCTTTTATTTTTCTTTTCTTTTTTTTTTTTTCTTGCTGTTTGCATTATCAACCGTCTCATTATTGTATCATTTATCTTTCTTCTACCTTTTAAGAGACTCATTACGTCTTTTAATTTGTAATATAGCCTTTTATACATATATATATTCTTTCCCTTTATTTTATTATTATTATCATCCTTTTTTTTTTTATATATACAAAACTCACATAATTGCATCATTAACTGACATTTGTCAGTATGGCGTTTTAAATAGGAACTGTGTACAAAAAGATGACCTTATTTTCATTCAACAATACAGACATCAAACCCATCGCGTTATCAACGTATTTGGAAACTAGTTTGCTAGTTGACCATCGTTCCCACAACAAATCAACCAACTATTCAAATCAGAACATCGCTTGGTATCTACTTTACATCTCTCCTCATCGGCGGCGAAAGTCGGTCGAACTATATTTAAAAAATATATATTCCTTGAGTTTAATTTCTATTCCTTGTCCTTGAAACATTTGCCAGATTTGATTCTCCCTTATTTCTAAAAAAAAAAAAAAAAACATATAAAAGAAAATAGCCAAGCTCAAGCCGGTTCTTGAAGAAAAAAACACTTCAAAGTATCAACAAAAAAAAAAAACCAAAAAAAAAAAAAAAAAACTACCAAAAAAAAAAGACAATATATCATCAGTTACTTTTCCCAAAGTGTAAAATCATCATATATATAAAAAAGAACATTAAATAGCCATGATGCTTAAAAGGTCGTCATCTATATCTAATTGGTCGACTATCCTAGACCTTGAGAATAATCAACCATTGCGACCTGGGCCGTTGTCTTCTCCGATTATCCTACCTTTTGAGATCGGCACAACAATTGTTAATCCTAAAGATGGTTCTGCCTTTCAATTGCTCCAACCTCTTGGCAATGGTTCTTACGCTGTTGTATATAGGGTGCTCGAAAAGTCTTCCAATAAGTATTATGCACTTAAATGTTTATCAAAGGCAAATTTGAACGATTATCATTTGGAAGTTCAGCGGAATGAGGTATAAGTTTTTTTTTTTCTGTCAATGTCAATTTTTATGTGATAATAAACTTATCTTTTTTTTTTTTTTTTTTGTTTTTTTTAGGTACATGTTCACAAAAGGCTCAACCACCCCAATATTGTAAAATTAGATCGTTATTTTGAAACACCTGATTGGCTCTTTCTTGTACTTGAGTATTGTGAAGGTCAAGACTTATATTATTGGTTGACGCAAAACAATGATAGCAGAGATCCAAAAACGGGTAAACAGTTATCTGAAAAAGAACGGATTACAATAGTCAAACAAGTTTTCATGCAGATATTGAGTGCGGTCGATTATTGTCACAGTCAAGGTGTGGCTCATAGAGACCTTAAGCCGGAAAATTTTATCGTCATGATCAACAATGACAGCAAGGTTAGTAATATTCAAGTAAAATTGACAGATTTTGGACTTGCTACGGATGAAAATGAATCGGTGGATTTTGATTGTGGATCCAAACCATACATGAGTTATGGTAAATAATTCAATTTAACCACTTTCGAAAATTTTTATATTTCGTTAATTACACTTAATAATTGCAATTTTATGACTTTAATAAATTAGAATGCCGTAATCCTATATGTGAATCATATGATCCTCGTCTTGCTGATATATGGTCATTGGGCATTATTCTTCTTAATTTGATGTATCATCGTTCACCATGGTCTGATCCAAATCCTACGCAGTGTAAATCATTTGCTTCTTTTCAAGTCGACAAGCCAGGCTTCTTAATTAACCGTTTTGCAACAATTCCGAAAAAGGTCGCATATTTTCTAGCTAATCGTGTATTTTGCAAAGTTGAAGAAGGCCGCATCAAAATCGAAGAATGGATGATTTGGTGTAATGATATGATGGAAAATATGTTGTCTGAAAGGAAGGATATTAAAAGCGTTAATGATGATGCTGTAGTACCACAACAACAATCATCGTCTTCTGACTCATCATTCAAACAAAATCCTACACATTCTCATGGATGTCATGCGCACAACCATCATGACTCATGGTCGGAAGTTTTTGGAGAATTTGACAATGAGATGGACTTTACTACTCCTGTTTTGTTTGATAGA